TTTTAACTGATCGCATAAAAAAAGTTATGTCAAAATTATCACACAGACAACTGCCCAATTGCTTTTGCATTATAAAATTTAATTTCAAAAATATTTTAATGGAAACAGGAATATTTTCTAAATTTACAGTTATAGATCTTTGAATTGCTGATTAAATCATATTAGTCAGGCTATTTCTGCAGTGCTACCACTTAATGGAATAAAGTTTTATCATGAAACAATTATAGAATATCAATATAATTCTCAAAAGTTCAAAGAAATTAAAAAAACTGGAGTGATTTGGGATGAATTTGACCAAAGTGATCTAATAAATTAAAAATAAGTATGAACAAAATTAATTCCTCTCCTTTGATCAGTAATATATTTGCATGATTCCAGGCTTTCATCATATCTACTGTATTGGATATTATTTTAAAACTAAAGAAATTCATCCATTTATGAGTTTATATATATTTGAGTAAGTAATATAGCAAATATACTAAGCTCCTATTCAGTAGAAATATTGGAGAAAGCATTTGAAATATCATGAAAGCCAGGATACCAATTTTTCGAAACATTTCAATGATAGGCTTGCAATTTATGTTTGAAGAAAATAATTGATGTTACTGAAATATTGATCGATGATATCTTGAAATATGTGTAGAAGCAAAATTTTTTTCGTTACATTTAAAATCTTTCAATGAGATAATAGAAATAAAGAAATTGTAGCAAAAGTATTATAATCCATGTAAAGGTGGCGATGACAAGAGGTGAAATGGAAAAGTAAAATTAATGTTCCTGGCCTTTAAACTTTTGGAATTAAATGTTTTTCAGGTCGTCCCTTACATCTGCCTAATATTTAGTTCAGAAATATTACATGATAGGAGACATAAATGAAATCTTTACACTTAACAGATCATCCCTCCACACAGAAAAGAGCACTGAGAACGGAGTGAATTGCAAATAAGCGCAAATTGACAATTTTCTCAGATTATGTATGTATCGTTCGTATTACTTCAATATTATACACGTACATATAATGCCATTATGCGCCAAAGATGCTTTTTAATTTTGATATATTTTTTTACTTTTGTTCTTTTTATTGAAATTGAAGACATTTTTGTTTTGCGATTATTTTCGCAGAATGATTTTATTGCATAACTTAATGGTTTATTTTATAATATGTGTCTGAATTTCCGAAAATAACGACATTAGATCCGGAATCGAGAATAACATAACTGTCACATATGTTTCAAATAAATTGCTACTGAAATTTAAATTTTTAAGTATCTTGATTAGTGTAGCACAAATAGAATTATTCCAAATCATAAGATTTTGCTCTTTCACACACTCACTGAGTATATTAGATCTTTCATTTAAATTCTCCTACCTCTTCTATGATACTTTATTAGTCAAACCTTTTTTTTCATGTTAGAAGCAATTGTCCACTAGAACTCCGATCCAGAACAGGACGGGACAGATAGCAACTGTAAAGAAGATCAGATTGAATGTCAACTTTGATGAACCAGTTCGTTCGATTGTTGTTGAATGAGAGGTATCACATTATCAGTAAATAACTGATATGAGCATGCATAATTTATTTGCAATGACATGGATACGTATGAATGCGCTATATTATTGGAATGTAATTTTATGTATAAAAGCATTGTAGAAATATAGAGATATTTATTAATTGTAACAATACAATGTTAAATTCAAGGAAACAGAAAAAGAGAAACAATAAGTTGCTCACCGGTAACTGAAACAGCATTTATGTGTGCCATAAGATTTGTTTTATGCGCATTTCGGGAAGTTTTGACAAAATATGCAACAAAAATATTTACTGATATATAATATACATATTATAATTGATTTGAAATTTTCAAATGAATTTAAATTGGGATTAAATTTCGGAAATGAAAAGCGATGATGATAAGAATTAAAATAAAAGCTAAAGCGCAGTTTTTTGTGTTAAACAATCTTCGGCACAGACTTGTAGAATAGAGTTTTTCACCAAACATCAAAAGCTCACAAAGCAATGCATTAATGGAAATGATGAGAATAATTAACTTGTCGTTTCCAATTTTTTTCACGAGACAAATCATTTTCCTCTCATCCTTTCTCTTTTATACTTCATTCATAATGATATATCATTTTCGCAAATTTCAACTACAGAAAGGCAGCAAATGAAATAATATAAAACAATGACAAAGAAAAATAAGGCGCAATAGACTTGAACATTACATTTACATGTTGCAATAGCACCGATGGTACCGGCATGTGAAATGAACTTGATCGGTTCAGATGTAGAAACCCGTACCACTAACAATTTTCTCATTCATTCCCACGAATTCTGGAGATAAAGATAACCGAGCGATTACTATCATAATGGACTAGTTTTCTTTTTTTTATGAAGAGATCTGTCAGAAGAAGAATTTTTCTTGTTTTAAAAAATCAAGCTTTTTCTTCTTCCATCATAATTAATGAAACTTAAATTAAAAAACAAAACAAAATGCAAGTATAGATCATTCTTTGTAGCAAAAAGTTCCAAGATCAGATGATGCCCAATTTCACACAATAGCAAAGAGAAAATACGGAAATAATGGTAAAGAAATACTCATGGAGCTTTTAAAATTTCAATACAACGAGCATAATTCATATATGACTGAAATAGTTTGTATGTACCATACATATATTGTATAATAAAGATAAAGATGAATAAACGATTGTAAGAAAGAGAAGATAAAATATTCAGCAGATTATAATTAATCATCACAAATCTCACCTACAATCAAGATCTGTGATCGAGAGCAGTGTTCAACAGAATTTAAGAATTTCTGGAATCCTAGACCTCTAAAAATCTTACAAAATGAGAACTTTTATGATAAATAAATTAAAAAGTTTTTTAAGTATAAAATGACGGAAATTTCTGTGAATTAGAATACAAATCCATTTTTTCCAAGAAACTTCAAGGGACCACTAACATTAACTGGAACATATTAAAACTTGAATTTGAAATTTAGATTAGAGATATCTCATATAAATTACTCAGTCATAAGAAAGGGGTGGAAATACTGTTAGTAAAATGATTTCAAAATTTTTCTCAGATTTGTTTTCGGATTATTCTTCAAATTTTCTCTGTGAAGACCTGCTACCAACCGGTTGCTTAAAACTCCTTAAATCTTATCATAGGGTATAACTAAACTGCAAAAGCTCCAAGCAGTTGACAATTAGTTAAAAGCTGTCTTGAACTTTTGAAAAGATGGATTAAATAAGACAGATAAACTACAAATATTTATGACATGAAGTTGAACCAAAAAATTGCAAGAACATTAGTAATTCTCAAAAAGAAAAAATTATGGGAGAGAGCGAATAAATAGCAAAACACCGTAGATTTTTAAAATTCGTAATCTCGAGTTTGTCGGCCAATCCGATAATGGTGCTAAATAAGGTATCAAATGGGGATCAGCCGTGAGTGGGATAAGCGACCAATTTTCAAGTAAAAAAATACAAAGGAGAAGAGCTATATCTTTGAATTCATTTATTTCTTTTTTCATATTCCATATTCTTCGATGATATTTTTGGCACAAATACAATAATTAAAGCCAAGCTTGGGTATGTGTAAAACTGCCTTGCTGACACTACTTGATAAATGTCAATCCTTTCATTGATGTGCGCTTCCTAAATTTTACAAAAAGTAAAACTAAAAAGTGAAACAAATTTCATCTATGCAAAAAATTGCAGATGGATTAAATGAAAAATCATTTATTAAACAGTTCCCGAATTTGAGAGCCGCTGTACTAGTCATTTTGATACCACTAATAGACGAGGCAACCGTAATGATCACAAAGCTGTGATAGCTCAGGGTGTTACAAAACAAAAGACCGTTTCTAAAGAGGCAAAAAACCGCTATAAAAATCAAAATCTACCACAACGCTAAAATAAAATGTTGGTTTTCCATGGAAAAACTTGCGATTACGTGCTTGATGATGGAAAAAAGTATATTTTCCGATAGTTAAAAGACAAATCTGTCAGTAGTGCTTTATGTAACAAGCCAAAGCTCCCTTAATATTCGTGATACAATATTTTCGACTCAGGCGAGCAGGCTGAAAGCAGTGCACAATCCAGAAACAGCAATACGAGTTTTATCATGCTAAATACATGCTCAAGTAGAAATAAAAGCCGTTCAGATTTTTTCAGAATGTCAAGTGAAATTTTAATTAAATTTTAAAATTGAATTTTCATTTCCCGTGAAAAGTCTTACTCTTTCTTTTGATGAAAGCCCAAGCCTTATTATGAAAAAAGTATTAATGTAACACCAAGAAGTTCACATTAGGAATTTCAATAATGTTAATGAGCTCTGCGAAAACTAGGATAAAGAATGATACTGAAGGGAAGGCCTTTTTTAAAGTTTTGTGCCAAAAATATGCAAAAAAATGCTTTAATAGTGCAACTTTATCTTCAAAACATGGAGAAGTGAAAGAAAAAAGCTTAAATTTTTTCGTTCCTTAAACGATTTAATTGAGATCATTTCCAGCAGCAACAGAAACGAATGCAAAGAACTTTGTAATAGCAATGGGAGAAAACGGTAAACATTGCCGCTATAACTAACGGAACTCGAATCTATTAAATTAATCATCAAAGTTCAAATATTACAAGATTTTTTTCTGTTGAAAAGGGCAAAAAAGATGAAAAACAAAATTTTTAAACATCTTTGAGTCCATCACAACACTGCACTACCACAAATCTCTTTAATTTAGCAGGTGATGAAATCAAGTCGAAATGACTTATCATCGAAAACAACTATCACTTATAAGCTTTCAGGTGATAAATGGATTAAAATCTTTACATTCCTTTAGCATGCATTTAGAATTTATGGATTTCTTGGATGACTTGAATGCACTCTTGTATATAATTTTCCAAGCAAAACTTATCCTTAGTTGCAAAGGCAGTGATGGTCAAAATGCTGGTAGATGAATTGGAAAATGTTACAGTTAAACTTGTAATGTAATGGTAATAGCCTACTGTAGGTTACAACAACCGCACTTCTTTTTTTCGATGCGTACACATTCCACTTGTCGAGCTTTTGGCAAATCAGCCATACCATCTTCCATACCAACCCGATCACTACTATTCATCAGTGGTGTTGTGCCCGTCACTTGAGGCTCCATTTCTTTATCCGCTACTAACGATGACGGCGAAATGCCTGAATCTAACATATTTTTCAGTTTGTGTGTACACACAAATATGGATTAAATAGTAAAAGGATCAAATCTGCCAATATGAATACAATTCTGTAACTGTATATCAGATAATTAGCTTACTGTAAATTGGTTCACTTATTAGATGTAGGTAGTAGTTTAAACAATAAAAATTTTTTTAAAGCTACCAAATATTATGTAAAAGTTGTAAGGTAATCATCAGAAATGTTATATTATAACTCAGCAAGCATTAGAAAATAATAGAAAAGAAAACAGCAATTAGTTATGAAAGAAATTAATAAAAATTCTACAAAGAAACTCTGATTTCAATTAATATTATCCCTCATCATTACAAGCAGTCAAAAGCACTTCTGTTCTTGCAGCTTCTCAATTTCTCAAAGACATAAGTAAATGCCGTTTCTTATTGCTTTGACCTTTGTCAGAACAATTCTTCGTTTGAAACTAATTATATATTCCGACATTTGTTAAATCATATCTGCTAACTACTATTAATCTATCCCTCTTTAACGGTGGCTTTTTTGTTGATCATTTTAATTATGGACCTATTGTTGTTTAACAGATGATAAATTTTGAAGCAAAAGCTCTTCAGTCCTATGCAGTGCATGCATAAAGTAAATCTCTGCTTACTTTGTGCATGCGCTGCATAAAATTTGAGTTTTCAGAAATTACCTTCAAAATTTATCATCTGTTAAACAATAACTGATAATGCTCATTTCAACCAATAAGATATCCTAAAATCTTAATTTTCTAAATTCAGCCATCAAAGATGCTTTTCTAATGATCATGATAAGCAACAGGAAATTAATTCAAAATGAAACATACCGTTTAAATATGCTTGATTAGCGCCTTTCACAGGTGTTGTGTTCTGCGAACCAGGTAATGACGGTGGATAAGGTTTTTTCTTGTATGCTTCCACGATCGGATCAACTTCATGAAACAGAGATTCTTCCGGACGAAATGGATTATCCGTTAATTCATTTTCTACCCTTCTGAAAATGATCTATTATTGTTCAAAGTTACGTATGAGACAGTCTCTTTCTCTGTATCGAGAGTGACGTGAAGCGTGACTTATGTAACATCTACTGACGTGCAATGATGTATGACACAGGAGATAATGATATGTAACGCACAAACAAACAAAAAAAATTTCCCCCTCTTAAGCCTTGAAGATAGAATTAAACTAACTTAATAAGTGCTGGGAGGGGAGGACTACTAACTGCAGCTGCATTTTGATTATCTTCAATCTGTGCTGGTGGCAATATCGTTGTCGGCATTTCCGATTCTTCCGCAACAACCCTTATTCGACTCGGCGGCGCGTCTGGACTGAAACATGAATGAACTTTAAAATTTCATGAAATATAGATATAAAAACATCGAAGAAGAGAGCAATTCTCTTTCCATATTAACAACGATGATTAATGTCAATAATCATTAAACTTTTATCTCATCTAAAGATGTGAATAACTTTAACTATGACAAATATCAGTCAAGCATGTCTATTACGCAAAGCAATGTTTGATACGATCCGCATTGTATCGATATCTGACCAACTTAATTTTTTTTTTGAATTTAGTTACTGTTTTCTAGTTTTCTATCATTTTTCATCATACTACCGCTACCTTTTCATCAATCCATTTTTTCCAATATTAAAAAGATTTAAATAACACTATAAATAGAAACTATCTTTTATAACGTATATATACTTCCAAGGTACGGTAGTGGCTGAAGAGATGTGAGTAATACCGCAGGATGAGAATAACTGAGATCATAAGTGGTGATATTTCATAAAAATTTCATACAAATAACTTTCGTGGAATAATAATTCAATTTTTTAATTTCGAAGTAAAATTTCAAATTCAAAATTTCCAAATATAGAGAGGATAGCCGTTCATAGTGGTTCTGCTACAAGCATTACAGTGACAAATTGTCTGCAATTAATTGTGATACATTCATATACACACATACACACACACACATGCACGCACATACACATATACACACACATACACATAACATACACACGTATACATACACACATACATGTATGTAAATATATCGAGGATTATTTAAAAAATAATTTGCAAGGATTACAAAGATTTAAAAAACAATTTTACAATTTACAAGGATAGAAGCTGAAAAGCTGAAGGAGCAAGCAATTCATGGCTAATAAATAGGAAAAAAGAAAGTGCATTCAGCTAAGGCCCAGCAATTACATGACGGAGAGAATATTTAGAGATAATGGATGACTGAGAGTCTAACAAAATCAATTCGAACTATTTACAACGATGTACTTTAACAGTAGAAAATAGTGATAAAATTGCTTATGAGATCAATTCAAACTTAGTCTATCCTAAATGTCTAGCTTTAAGCCTAAATTATCGGCTTTAGCCTTAAAATGCTATAATAGAGTCTTAAAGATGAAACTTTGGAAGAAGCCTTGATGAACATAATGCTTTGAGACTATGAAGAACAACTGATGAATTTCACTCACACACACACCCACACACAACACACACACACAGACACACACATACACACATAAACACACACACATACATACGCACACACATACACACACACACATACACACACACATACA